TTCACGACCCTCTACCGAATGTCGAAAATGACGTATAGCACAGTACATAGCCAGAAGTTCTGTGCCGAATGTGCTGCACTTCGTTTCAGCTGTTTGCAGGCGCCTCGAGAAAGAGGCGAGTGGTTGCCACTCTTTGTTAACTAGCTGTTGTAGAACTGCGCCGATTGTAGTGTTTGATGCATCAACCGAGATGCTTAAAGGTGCCGTTGGATCCTGATACATCAGAAGTGTGGCATTCGCAATAGCTTTTTTAATCTGGGTAAAAGCATTTCGAGCAGACGCGTCAAGTTCTATGGACTTGCCATTCCCTCGAAGAAGGTCTGTCAATGGCTGAATCAGAGAGGCACAGTTGGAAATAAAGCGTCGATAATAACTTACTAAGTAGTTAAAAGTGCGGAGACTTTTCACTGTCTGTGGCTCTGGAAAGTTCAGTGTAGCCTCGACCTTAGTAGCCAGCGGGCGAATGCCCTTGCAGTCAAAAGTGTGACCCAGAAAGTCGAGTAAGCAAACGCCTATCTGACATTTTTGAATACTGATGGTAACACCATGTTGGCGTAACCTTTCAAATGTCAACTCCAAGAGTCAAAGGTGAGTTTCCTTGTCTGGACTGGCAATGAGGGAGTCGTCTAAGTATGGATTTACAAAGCCGTGACTGCGAAATACTTCGTTGATGGAGCGTCCGAATGATTGTCCTGCATTCCGGAGACCGAATGGCATACGTAGAAATCCACGAAAGGCGTAATGATAGCTGTTTTCGGAATATCTTCTATTGCCATTGGGATTCGGTTATACGCTTTAACAAAGTCGATTTTAGAGAATATAATTGTGCCAGCTAATTTTGTCGTCAATTCGCGTATGCGAGGCAATGAATAGCAGTCAGAGGTTTATTTGGCGGATAGCCAGCCATTTATATCCTTTGTCGGTACCTTATGAATTGGGGTTGCCCATGGACTATTCGTTTGTCGACTGGTTTCCAGGTTGAGCATATGCTTGAACTGATTTCTACCGAGTCTCAGTTTGTCATGAGCAAGTCATCGTGCTTTACATGTCACGGTTGTCCTGAGGTTATAATGTGACACAACATTGTTGGTTATGCACGGTAGATCGTTGGACGGGTAATTAATTTCCAGGTACTCATCAACAACGGTTGGAAAGTTGGATAAAGGATTCCCTTCATCTTAACGAGTGATAAGCTGGGACCTACGCAGGTGATGCTTTTGATAGACAGACTAGTAGTATTATCAATCAGTCGTTTTCGGCGGACGTCTACGAGTAAATCATGATGATTAAGTAGGTCTGTGCCGATGATGGACATTGTGACGTCAGCGTGAACGAAAATCGACCGAATAGGTTTGCGTAAACCTACGTTCAGATAGACGTATTTCCTACCAAAAGCTGCAATAGGTTTTCCATTTGCAGCATGTAAGTTGAAGGTAGGTTCCTTTCGTCGATCTGCTGCTGTGGCAGGAAGGGCGCTGATTACGGCGCCTGTGTCGACTAAGTATCGGGTCTGGGTAACCGTATCACGAATGTAAAGCAGGCGGCCAGTGACACCGGCGACGGTTGCCGATAACACGTGTCGGCAGAATAGTTTCCTACAGTCTTTGAGGCACTGCCGAAATTACAAGTTTTTCGACAACATTTCGCTTCCTGGCCATGGGTGTTGTGATACCAACACCATTGAGGGCATTTTAGTGAACGTGGTCCGGATTTAGTGCGACCACGTGAGTTTCGCCGTTGAGGGGTGTTCGGACGGCGATAGAATAAAGTCTCTTCGGCAACTGAGCATATTTCAGGAACTGTCTATTTAGTTATTTCTATAATCTTATCTGCAGAAACGTCTATAATAACACCCTGAAGTGTCACCTGAACAGCCTGTGGCATTTTGGATAAAAATGTTCTCTGAAAAGTCCTTCATGAAACTGACGTTGGCCAATAATGATAGGATCCCACACACTTTGTTATTGACTGTTTATCTCGCATGAATGGTATATCATCATTCCCACACACTTTGTTATTGACTGTTAATCTCGCATAGATGGTATATTATCATTTCTCACGCACTTTGTTATTGACCATTACGATCAATTATTTCAAATGCTGTCAACTGTCTATATTGTTGCAAAAATGTATAAATACCATGAATTTTTTTGTCGTTGTTGTTGTACTACAATACACAGTCACAGTCCAGCCTTTGTCTTTTAATATTTGCGTGGTTCACTGAATCGGAAGGTACGACAAGCAGACAGGCATATTAGTCAGGAGCAGACAGAACAAGGCGACAACGTCCTCATTTAATTTCCTACCGTTAAAACAAATAACTTCCCTCATTCTTGACAGTATGCTCACGGCTAACTGACCCCATAACTCGAAGTTGCGAAATAATTCGTCCGGACCCATGAGAGCGCGTCTCCTGAGGAGAGTTGCTTTAAGCAACTGATACGGTTTACTTACCTCTGAGCTCGACATTTTCACAGTTACGCACTTGCTGAATTCCCGCGGTAGGTCGTTAACAGCTGCAGGGAACTGTGAAAGTTGATCAGTTATTCCATGCTCACTAAAATCAGACTCAGCCATCTGAAACCACGATTCAGCATTATCTGGCCAATATGGTACGAGCTGAATGGTTCTGGCAGTTGAGCGAATACGAATGACCTTAGGGGTATGGTCACGCATGACGAAATATATATAGTTAGAAAGTAGTAGAAGAACATATACAAAATGGAACGAACTCACCGGATTTGTTTGTGTATTTGCTAAAGATGGGGTTCGCGGTAGGGCTCACCAGTTTAGAGACTGACGGTATTGACGTACACGGTTAGTACGAAATATACTAACGCAAGTTCTAATATCCACAACTTCTATAGTATTTGTTCCGCGTAGACCAAAGGCAAAGTGAAACACGATAGTTGATCGTCCAAATTACGAGATATATTTCGGGACCAAATCGCAGTGTGGGAGGATCGCTTAGCTGGCTAGGGACCGTGCAAAAATGAAAGTGACACGACAGCGTACCGAATGGCGTGGATGCTTGACCGGAAGCCTTCAGCTAGACACGTCTACTTAAACAGTGAGTATCAGCATCCAATGTTCAGTGATGAGTACTGTGGTCAATAATTTTGAGGAATTATTTACCGCTACACCAGCGTTCAAGTATTAGAAGCTTGCCAGTGCTTTATTGGTCACCATGCTCAGGCTGACGTAGATAAACTGGTTGCACATGCTAATGCTGTTAAATATTAGGCAGAGTAATTTCAGCAGAAAGCAAGCCTTATTGGCATCTAATTTGAAAGACACCATGAACTTGATGAATAACTTTCATTTCGGTTGAGGAAAATGTATTGATAAAAGCTAATGGATTTCTGTGATGTCCTGGCAGTTTCTTGACGCTTTTTGGAAGATTCTGGCAGATAGAGAGTATAACATCTGGCGTAAGGCTCTTTAGCATAGAATGAAGCAGCACTTATACAAGAACCACGAATCCATTCACGGTAGTAACAGTCTTAACACACCTCATACTACAAACCACATATAGTTAATCCCAGCACTTCTCCTTTTGGAGTCAATCAAAGCTACGACAGTCGAGTGGCGGGACGAGCTACGCAGAAGTTTACCAAAGATCAGGAATCTATACCTCACAATAAAGAGGTGAACACAAAGGAATCAAACTGGTTTATATTAGCTCGTAAAAACGGTATTGGATTATTCTCAATACATAAAATTAAAGCACCAAACAAGACTATGTTTAATTTCCCTTGCATGTAGGGTGTCTACATGTTTATAGCGTTTGTCTGTCACCAACACACACCCCGAAAATGAAGCCACAACTAAGAGAAGAATTGGTTGGAAATACTACTGAATGATCAATACGTATTAAATGGCAATATCAGTTAAAATGTATCCAGTCTGTTTAATAACTTACTGGACTGTGATGATGGTCTCATAGTCTAGAGGAACACAAGGAACTGTGTTTGAACAACAAAATGATGGGGAAACATAAGTGACCGATCAGGGTGAGGGTATGCTATAAGTCTAATTCAACGCAGTAAACTTTTATGGTTTGAATGAAGACAGTCAATCACAACATGAATTTGCTCACATAGGTGATGTTGGATTAGGGACCTGCAAGAATGCTGTAATCATAGCGAATGCAACATTTGGCTGTTTCAAAGGTGTTCTACAAACTATTTAAGGCAGCCAGAATCTGTCGTGACATTTTTTGTACTGTTCACGTAAACACCTCACGACGGCCTTTATCCTCAATCGATTAATAAACCGTACGGTTGTGAACATAATAGAACTTAGGAATAATGCTAACATATATGAATAATTCTCCCTCAGCTTTTTCACAAATCCTAACCTAATTTTGAGAATCAGTTCGCGGAACTAATAAAACCATACAAAGGAATTAAGTTTTTTTAACAGGTAGGTGAGGACGAAACTAAAAGTGCTTGTCCCCTAACTATGAGAATCCCATATTAAAAGTGTTGCTTTAGGCTACTTGCTATCAGTATACATATTCTAACTATCAAAAAAGAACAGAAACATATTGTTAAAAGGTGTAATATTTTTCTGCAGATATTGAGTTATCTTAAATAATACCATTAAGCAAATACAAGGAGGAATATCACTCAAATTGTCGAACAAGCAACAGTTAATTATTTTTCTTCAATGATGAGAACAGAACAGCAGACAATAAGGAATCATCTATAAGGAAGGTATCTTAATGATGCTGACTACACATGTGAAGAGTATGAAAGCTCTCAAGATATATTGAAAAAAGAAAAGAAAATAGGAGAGGGAGGAGTATGCATATAGCAGGAATCAACTGACTGCTTCACAATAATAATGACGATAACAGTGACAATGATAATGAAGACAGCGAAAAATTGCGTTGTTAAATATAAATGAGGTTAGAGTATTTCATAACGTAGAATAACATTGGTATATGTAATTTCTTGCGTGCATCTCGCCGACTGCATATCCAAAGTCACGAACGGTTACTGAGTAAAAAAACAAATAGATGAAGAAGGATAATAATAAAGTAAAAAAATCATTTTTAAATAAGCCACTCACAGTATACTTACGACAACGACGGATGGTGCTGAGAAGTCTTCTAAAATTGACTGCAGACTTCATAGAACAACATAGTGAAATGCTTCAATGAAATAAATTCACAAAGTATTTGCTTACATCCCAAGTATTTCAAGATATCTGTCAAAGGAACGGTATACAACAGGTGCGGACGTGACGTTATCAGGCGGAAAGTTTTGTGGACACCTTCAGGGGAGTTATAGTAAAAGTAGGGGGGACGAACTACACCAAAAATTATACAACAGTTCCATCGTGTATACTGCACGACGCCAACGACAGGACAGAAGAAAAATCCAGCATAACTTTTAATGGGATGAATGTTGCGCACCCAACACCATATAGTGTTGCTGACACCATTAATCCATGGGAATAGTGCTGCAGGTTATTTCCGGAAGGGTGACACCTAGTCTTTGATAGAAATGGATGGGTCAAACTAAGGGTACACATGGGACGGTGATTTATTAGACAGAAGTGGGGAATGAAACATGGATGGGATACAAATATTAGTTAAGACAGCACCCCATGACGTCTTCAAAACCTCAGATACCTCTAAATCCTCTACTTGAAACATTCAAACTACCTACAGTTTATACAAAGATAAGCAAACAGGAGCGTCAGGGAACAAGGAGTTTTAGCGCAGGAGGCAATCCAATCCCAAAAGACCCCAGACAGCACGATTTTAAGATGATCCAAAGAAAAGGTACTAATTCTGTCGTACACTTTTCTTCTTATTTCCCTGATAGAGGGTGTTACATAAACCTAATTATTCTAAAACACTACATTTATCTTTACGGTGTTTTTTGTACCCTGCCCTACACACCGCTGGCCTTCAACCCTATCGATTATTGCTGATTGCTTTAACTTACCAATGCAATTAGCATTTGTCAGGGACATTTAGAGTATACATATACACAATTGCTGTCAAGGCTTTTCGTGGTTGATTCAAAGACAGTAAAAACTCTCTACGTCGACAGTCTGCCTTCTTGAGTCGTGGGTTCAATGGTACCGTATCGTGTCGCCGATGTTTTTAATAGTGACTAGAACAGTAGGCCCACAAATCGACTAGTTGGGAAGTCCGTTAGTGCAGACTACCAGGTGTCATAACAGTGTTATCGTAATGAAAGCATTGAAAAACTTTTATAAATAAAAGTTAGTCATAATTACTCGAAAAACACGTAGGAAATGACCAGCAACTGGTCAAACTAAAATTTTATCCACTACTTTGTCATTAAAAAATTTATAGCACCTAAACATGATGCAGAGATTTATTTTTGTGTACTACACAAAAAGGCACACCAGGTGTGAGTGCACGATACCTAGGTGAAAATAGGAGTGGAATTCGAATCCTAGAACACGCTCATCGACAGTCTCAACATTTAAGTACAGTTAAAACAAGAGATCACAGAAACCACCTGATTCCATGTAAAAGCTCAACTAACAAGTTCGAAACAAAAGCTTATAAATATGTAAGCCAACAAAGTGATATCACTGATACACTGCAGCAAGCTGCAATAGCAAGTTTTCTGAGAAACCGAAGATAACAGAATTGAATACAAGTATAAAACCTATAAAATAATACTGGATGATATGATGTGAGCTACGTTGGTGGTGACAATGTATAATTTATTTGCCAAATACGAGATGATTAGAAAATGACATTCTATGAGACAAGAGTAAACAAATTTTAAAAAGTTCTACTACCTAAGCGAATAGAAATGCTATTCTTTATTGAACTCTTTCTACAGATAATATCATCATAGTAGTAAGGATAAATAGTGATTACAATTGATGAATTTATCTTTAGTTACGTTTATTTCCTTCACCTGAATACAGGATATCAAAGGTATGTGTCTATCCTTTGACCTAATATCTTGAGTTTATGAGAAAGGATTAAATGGAGTAAACAACAATTCTTGTACTTAATTGATAGGATCCCGCATAAAGTAATATATAACCATCTCTCACGCATGTTGTGATTAATTATGCGATCAATCATTTCCCAAGGTTGAGGCCTACTTTATTGTTGTAAAGAGAATGTATAAATACCATGTGTTGTTTTCCTAATTGTTGTGATTACAAAATACAGTCACAGACCAGCCCTTATCTTTTAATATTTGCGTGGCTCAGTGAATCGAAAGGTACCACAGGCAGATAGGCATTTTAGGCAGGAGCAGATAGAACAAAGTGACTACGGTTCTCATTCATTTCAGTATAAGTTATAACATTAATAGGATAAATACCAATCCGTTAACATGTTAAAAAGAGTGCCAAAATATCTAAAAGGAGACTATATAATAATCTAACATTAACCACACGAAGATTTTCGAGCATTATGAGACATTCAATCACTTCTGTTTAAGTTGATTCAGTGAAAAAAAAATAACATAAAGGCAACGCGTGTATCTAACAAAAAAACATGTGCGAGTACACGAAAAACAGGAGTTATACGGTATCCAACGTGGTGGGTTAGTCAAACATCTAACACACTCTAATTGTCTATTTTAATGCACTACGTTAGTGAAAGGAGAAATGCTATGATCTATATCTTCAGTAAACTGAGTGGACGTTTGTGTGGGAATAGTAGTACTGATGCATTGGATAACTCAACTGATATGCTAAATACGTTAATTTGAGCGTGGTAATCTTCCGCTTCACTGAGTCATGTAAATATCAAAAGACAAAGACTGACTTGTGACTGTTAGGATACGATTTTTTATTTAAGATATAAAAACGTTATATTTACACACTTTTTACACACACGCATTTCGACTACTACGCTACATTTTGCTTACTAATAAAAACTCTTATTTCTGTGAAATTTTATGCCAAGAGTTTCCGGAAACTATCATAATTATTAACCTTTCGAACACTGAATCCAAAAAATACAATCTTATTGACAGATAATACATATAACTAACTAATTGGATTTGTGGAATTTTTAAACATAAACACATCTATAATTGTATATATTGTTGGATTTATATGTTCAAGTTGCTCCAAGTCAGTGAGTTTATGGTTAAGATATCATTTTAGTTAACTGTACTGAACTATATTGCATGTTGTCTTATTGTATAGTTGTCGTCGCTTTTTGCCCTTTTTTCTGTGAACTGTTTCCTTTGTTGATGTTGTTCTCATTGTTTGTCCGTTATTTTCTGATTTTGAGGGGAGCAACCCAAAAAGTTGCTTCTCTCTAAACTTTTACTTAATGTAATCATTCTTTTCTCAGGCGTGAGGCTAGCAACCCCACCCTGTAAACAAAATTGCTACAGAACTTCAGCAATGAACCTCTTTGCACCAAAAGAAAAAGTCTGTGTAGGAACATGGAACGTCCGAACTATGTACGAGACTGGAAAGCTGCCCAGATCGCCAACGAGATGAAAAGATACGGAATACAAGTGCTGGGAATATGTGAGAGCAGATGGAATGGGAGTGGACTCACCAAATTGTCAACAGGTGAGTCAGTGATCTACTCCGGTCACCCAGAAGATAACCACACGCACACCGAGGGCGTGGCTATCATGATGTCACCAACGGCAACGAAAGCCCTGATACAATGGGAGGCGATTTCGTCCAGGATAATGACCGCCAGGTTCAACTCCAAAGGAAGGAAAGTGTCAATCATACAATGTTATGCACCCACAAACAACGCAGACCTCGAGAAGAAAGAAGAATTCTACAGGCAACAATGGACAATACTCCAGCTGGCGACATGAAAATACTAATGGGAGACATGAACGCCAAACTGGGACCAGACAATACGGGAAGGGAACTCATCATGGGTAGAGAAGCTCTAGGAGAAATGAATGAAAACGGAGAACTCTTCGCCGACTTCTGCGCCTTCAACGAACTGGTGATTGGTGGCAGTGTATACAAGCACAAAGATATCCACAAGGCTACATGGGTGTCACCAGACGGGCAAACCAAAAACCAAATCGACTTCATCTCAATCTCAAGGAAGTGGAGGCGCAGCCTACTGGACACAAAAGCAAGAAGAGGAGCAGACGTTGGCTCAGACCACTATCTCGTACAAGGGACAATCCAAATCAAATTAAAAGCTTTCAGGGAATCAGGAGCTGCAGATAGACCACAAGCCAAGTTCAACACTCAAAAGCTGAAGGACCAGGCTACAAAGGACATCTTCATTGCAAGCATAAAGGACAAAGCCGAGACACAAATCAACACTAGCGAAGGTCGGCGTTGAAAAGCACTGGAACAACTTGAAAACGGTGTGGAGCCAAACCTGCATAGAAATTCTAGGCAGAAAAAAGAGACAGGACAAACAGTGGCTCACTACGGACACTTGGAAACTAATAGAAGAGAGAAGGACAGTGAAGCAAAAGATTATCCAGTGCACTGACGAGCAACAAAAACAGGAGCTGAATGCAAGCTACAATACACTGAACAAAAGAGTGAAGAAAAGTGCCAGGGAAGACAAAAGAAAATATTATGAAACCATGGCAAACGAAGCAGAACAAGCTGCAGGCAAAGGAGACCTCGCCACACTCTACCAAACAACTAGGAACCTTTCGGGCAAACGTTCGACACAGATTAAGCCAATAAAGGACGACAATGGAAAGTCAATCACCAAAGAGGTGGAACAGAGAAAGCACTGGGTTGAACACTTCAAAAGACTTCTAAATCGTCCGCCACCTACAACACGTCCAGCAATACCAACAACGGAAGCAGAACTACCAGTGAACACTGACCCCCCGACGAAATCAGAAGTCCTGAATGCAATCAAGATGCTTAAAGCTGGGAAAACACCGGGACCAGATGGAATCCCAGCAGAGGCTTTGAAAATAGACCCAGAGACAACAGCGGACTTGATGACACCACTACTGGAGAAGGTGTGGAAAGAGGGCAAAGTACCCGAGGATTGGAAGAACAGTTACTTATTCAAACTTCCAAAGAAAGGAGACTTAAGTCAATGTAAAAACTGGCGTGGAATTATGCTTCTGTCCATTCCAAGCAAGATACTAAGTCGCATCATCCTGGAGAGAATCAAACAAGCCCTAGATGAAAAACTTCGTCCGGAACAGGCTGGATTCAGGAGAAACAAATCATGTATTGATCAAATCGCCACTCTACGGATCATCATTGAACAAAGCTTGGAATGGCAGTCACCTCTCTATCTCAACTTCATCGACTTTGAAAAGGCCTTCGACAGCGTCGATCGAGAGGTCATTTGGAAACTACTTCGCTACTACGGGGTCCCATCGACAATTATACACCTCATCCAACAGTTATACGACAATGCTGCATGCCAAGTAATCCACAACGGGAAACTTACGGAAGCCTTCGAAGTGAGGACGGGAGTGAGGCAAGGCTGTCTACTATCACCAATGATCTTCCTGATTGCAATTGATTGGATAATGCGACAGACAACGGCAACCAACGAGGGAACAGGCATAAAATGGACTGACACAAAAGACTTGGAGGATCTGGATTTCGCCGATGATATATGTCTGATTTCCCATAAACTGGAAGATATGCAAGTGAAAAGTAACAAGTTGGCAGAAGAAGCATCAAAGATAGGACTTCACGTGAACATAGATAAAACAGAGATGATGAAGATTCCTAGCCAACATCAACAGCAACAACAGACCACAATAAGCATAAATGGGAAGAACCTGAAAGAAACAACCTCCTTCACCTACCTGGGAAGCATCGTCTCAACTACAGGCGGAACTGACGAGGACATCAAAGCCAGAATCGGAAAAGCAAGACAAGCTTTCATTACTCTCAAATCTGTGTGGAGGTCAACAGCACTCAGCATCAAAAATAAGATCCGGATTTTCAACTCCAATGTGAAGTCAGTGCTACTATACGGATCAGAGACTTGGCGAGTCATAAAGAGCATCTCAAACAAACTTCAAACCTTCATTAACAACTGTCTCCGCTCAATACTCAAGATCAGATGGCCAGAAAAGATCAGCAACAGGGATCTCTGGGAGCGAACCAATCAGGAACCGATTGTGAAACAAATAGGCAGAAAGAAATGGAGATGGATTGGCCATACGCTGAGGAAACCATCAAGTGACATCACTAGACAAGCCCTCGAGTGGAACCCGAAAGGGAGGCGGCGAGTTGGTCGTCCAAGGGTGACTTGGAGGAGGTCATGCGAGGAGGAGATGAAAGCATGTGGACAGACCTGGAGCAGGGTGAAAAAGTTGTCAGAAAACCGAAGTCAATGGAGGTGCGCAGCTGAAGCCCTATGTTCCTCTAGGAACTAAAGGATACAATAATAATAATAATAATTATCACATTAAAATCTGCTCAGGGCAGTGGGAACAGATAGTTCTGACTGGCTGTTGATTTGACCAAAACTCAAGATAAGAAAAAGATGACGAAATTTCGCAGTTATCCGATTACACAATAAATCATAAGATTTTAAGCTAATTCATTTCGAGAACTAGGTTGAATGGGAGTCACCAGGAAAAGATACCGTCTTACTTAAATACCGGTGTAATATATATGTAAATATATGGTGTGAATTAAAACCCAGTATCAGTAACACGTTCGATCGAACTAACTTTGTTAACAGACTAGTCATTCATGATGATAATAAAATGAATCACGCACAATGTGTGATGTGAAAATAATGTGTTAAAATACCATTGGAAAAAAACCCTGAAGTAGGCATCTTACCGTAGGTTTTCCGCTTTCACTTAACGGCTTCTTCTATACAAAAAAAGAATACAAAAGAGGGTAAACAATTAGTCCCACGATGGGAAAAACCATTAGCAAAATATTAATTGACCGACAACCGGTAAGCAAGTTTAGAATTAATTACCTTGATATTAGTAGTTCCCCATGTTGGTTGGCCGCCCAAACTTGAAGCTAGATTTGACAAAGTACTATCCAAGGCATCGAGAGGATTTTTATTCTGAGAAGCAGTTACAACAGCTGGACGAATAGGAACAGTTGCAGGCACGGGCTTCAAGCCTACATCACAGTATTCCGAAAGATGAAGATGCATAAGAAATCAAAAAAAGGGAAACCAACTAATTAAGAAGAGAAACATCCATCGGATATAGACGTATACAATAGGCCTTACGTTTTTGATGGAAAACAATGAAAAAAGGAGCAGCCTTATTCCGAAGTTGTCAACACCATCTGACGATATGGCAAATATAATCAGGAGCGAAAACCAGTTATTGAACCAAGGAAAACCAAAGAACAAGGGGCAACAGTTTCACTAACCCTATATATATATATATAAACGTTATTCATTAACACGTTTAGCTATCAGTTACTTCTTCGTAAGTTTTCTTTTTATTTGATAGATGCGTTAGTATTCATTAAATTGATAACCGCACTACAATATTCCAGAAACACCTAATATTTGTCCGAAGTCACTCCTGTTTCATACATAGTGATGAACAGACACTGTGCTGTCAACAAAGACAGTGGGAACCAAGATATCGGCATATAAATGATGTGTACCCGTCGCCAATTTAGATATGATCATTAATACACTTGGTGGTTGTGCCAACGAATTCCTTATCTAGTCGATTCGCAAGTCTATTGTTCTAGCCAATGTTAGGAACAACAAAGACACCACGGTACGATACCACTGGAAAAGCGACGAAAGAAATCACGAAGAAACGATTGACCGTTGACGTGTAAAGTTTTTACTTTCTCGTATCAACAGCGCTTGCGTATAAAGGCTTTACAAGACCCTGAAAGAGACACTAATTACATTGCTATATCAAAACAGTCGACAAACAATAGCATTTCAGAAGTCAAAAGTGGGGTGAGAGAAAATTAGGTCTAAAAATCAATAAGTTGGGTGAGAGTTATACAAGCAGACAGAAAAACGACATGTAGAAAATTAAGTATTTATAACCGTAACCCAAATGGTACCACTTGAGGATATTAATCATGCCACCAGAACAACAATCCTACCGTAATCTCATTCCAGCGTTATTCATACAATCATAAACCAGTAGCGCAACGAGACCACACTAATTAAATCACAACCCAACAAACACTACCATTATACCAAACTAGAATGGTCAGAAAGTTGCGCAGCAAATTAAATCCCGCTGGTTTTGGAATCTGCTTTAGCTGAGAACAGATAAGCTTACTCTTCTCTAATATTATTAAACATTTATAGGCTGGTCGTCAAAATAAAACTGTTTTCTAGTTACTTGAATAACACTCTTATTGAACTCATCAACCTTATCCGAACCAGTTCCGTTTGCATATTACCCCTCTTCTGTCTAACTACCATAGGAATCTGAGAGGACTTGTGTTATGTGGTGGAGCAATTACTTGATAAAACATACTATATATGCAATGATACCTATCGGTCGCTGTCGGAATCTCATAAACGTATCCACGAAATTGTTTATTAAATCAGGATCAAAAATAGAGATTTTTATTCAAAGATGTTTCTGTGTCGAACACAATCAATAGTTTAATAAGCTTCTTAGGATGGGACACTGGGTGATGCAGTAGATACCAAACTTATCAACTATCATAATCGTCTCTTATCATTTCAGTAAAGGCTCTTTTAATATATTGCGACATTACGTTAACACATCTTCACAAGGGTGAGTCATGAGTGAATTGTTTTCTCAACGAATTTAAAAGAATCATCGACAATTTTCTATTATTGGGTAACTTGTTGTCGATCCCATGGAATTGCTTGTAATGGAATACTTGCTTGGGAAATCCCTCTTGAATAACGTAACTGTAATACTTATAATTATTTAGATGTTTCAACTATCTTTGGAATTATTATTCGTTTTTCTTCTAGACTGTATATAATTGTTTTGACATTTGCATATCATATGTTGACTTGATCCTTATTATTCGTCATTGCCCCAGCGTCGGTGGCACAGTGGTTAGGACTCTCGCTGACCATGCACATGGTCCGAGGTTCGATCCCCTGCCGATGCACACCTGATATCTATGGTTGGCCTGAATAATTTGGGCTACCGATATCCATGCTTAAAATTCCATACTTGTACCAAAAATACAGTGTGGAATCAAGCTGTAAATCAAAAATCAAAAAAAAATAATTGCCTTTGTTTAATTTCTAATTTTAATGCTACTCTTTGTAGTTTTTCGACACATCAATATTGTTTTGTTTTACAATGTGATTTTGTTTGGGTGAATCAAGGTCCCTGGACTGTCTGTGGGGGTTGTTGATGTATGATTCTTGTGGACATAGTTCTGTTCCCACCTTGTTGGTATTACTCTACTTGATTCTAAGGTGTTTTTCCCAGTTAAGTTTTGGCTAACTAATTTTATTCCATAGTACTTGTTTTTTACTTGGATATTCTTTTGCCTATATAGCAGCCTAACAGCACTGTTGAGGTAATTTTTAGGTTTTTATTGTTGGATAGAATCATAGATCCATCGACAAATAACTTTCTTTTTGCTGTCTTTGAGGAGTTTTGTGATTGTGCGTCTCTCTACATTCAGATCGCAACGAGTCTGTTTCGGTCGTTCCAGTGCTATCTGATAATATCCATCAACTTACTGTATGGATTTAGACATATTGCCGAGAGCTTTATCATCTTCCCAGGATGCTCTACGACAAGCCTTGCGTCTGACCCACTATCCATAAGTGAACAGGTTTGAGCACCCTTCCACTATGGAGAACGCTTCCCCGATTTCTGTATCGTTGGACAAGTTAATACGACTACACTGTTGAGCGTGAATGTGTAAATCAGTTTTAGTATCATGGAAGAGCTCCTATCTTTTGTATAGTGACGTATAGTGTATGAAGAGAACTTGTGCACCATGGTAGAGTATAATTCCATTGTGGACAAAATTCATTTTGATAGTCTCAGTGTTTTATAGTAATATTTACTGATGACGTTTCGAGCGCAGTTTATTGCTCATATTCATATCAAGTTGATGTATGGTGTCTGCAAACACAAACTCCAACTGTAAAAGACCTTGAAGACGAACAGTATTTTGCTATATGATTTGCTTTCAAACAGAATTTGCATAGTTTTCTCTTGGAAACGAATTTTAGACGTCTACTAAGGTCTTTATTTTTAAGCTGCTGACATTAATCTAAGAAATACTCTCCAGAACATAGTATACCAGATGGAACAAACAAATAGGACTCCTTAGAATCGCTAGTCAGATTTCCGATATTGGACTCTTAAAGTTGGGAAACAGACACTTGATATCTAGAGTCTGGGTTCGAGTTCTTCTTCGTGAGGACACCCAATCTCTTTATCGTCTCTTTCAGTGGGATATGCTCTAACTAGCAATCTATACCTGATGTTAGCAGTATCCGACTGCTCCTTAACAAGTAAAGGGTAAATCACTAAACAACAGTTAGCGACTGTTCTTTATGTCGTAAGCAACTTTTACTCATCCTTGTTGTCAATGGACGAGGAGTTTCAGGACTGGGTGTTTAATAGTTCTACTGGAATTCAAATCCGAAATTTAATTTATTTATTGTAGTGTTAGCTTCCATGATAATTACATCCCACTAGACAACTTCCTCAATAGTGATGAGTCACTTCCTCCTCCTATATTCGGGAAATTTAAAACTTTTACTATGAAGGTTGAGGCTACAACACGCTTCTGCGAGAATGTATGCCCTAACAATTCTAGGGAATCATTTTAGCCTTCTTCCGATTCTAATGGAATATAATAATTGATAAGCTTCCTTTGCCTTTCCCTCAAAGTACTGAATCAAGTAATTCAACTCAGCCCGATACCCAATATCACCATTATCTACCCAGTCTACAAAATTCTTCATAAAATTCAAACAGTTTATAGGACCATCATCACGTTTAATAGTCTGTTCTTCAGGCATATATATTACGTTAGACCATTGCCTTTGAAAACTTATCACTGGGAGGAATGCCATGTATGTGTGGAGCAGGAGGTGTGTAAGATGCCTTTGTTTTCAGCGTGAAATGACCGAGACTTTTTGGATGTTATATCCGTAGTCTTCCTTATTCTGTTTTCTTTATTATCGTTTTTTCATTAGCTTCTGTTTTATCACCGGATTTTATCAATATGGAATTTTGATGGTGATATGTATCCATCTATATATATATATATATGGTGGTCTCTCTTTCTGTTGCTCTCTTAGTCTGTGACCATTTCACTTTGATGAACCTGTCTCCTTTAACAATGTATATTCCCTTATATTATATGTAATATGTGTGTTTGTTGACAGTCTGTCCTTGGTGATATATATATCCATATAATATGTGTGTTTGTTTGACAGTCTGTTATATTTCGCTATGTATATATGGATCGATACTCCATTATAATTAGCCAGTCATGTTAAGACTGTCTATTGATCCGTTCACACACTTGTTTGGACATTCATATATATTTTGCTCTCACACTATTGTGTGATACATTTGATTCTCCTTGTGTTTGTAAAATAGAAGTATCATCGCAAACCTAGTGGTCTTCTGATTTCCATCTTTCTTGCGTCAGGACTATTAAATTATCGACCAGTACATAGCAATAATTTGGTGACGAGTACATAACAGATGGTAATTTCCAGTCCGTTCGATATTAATGTTGATGGCGGTGATTAGGGATGGCTGTATTCAAATATGTTACCGCAGGTAAGTATGTATGGAAGTATATGAAAGTTTATACTCACCGGCAGGTAAACCACTAGCCCCTGACCCGGGAGGATTGGCTGACTGTGGTTGAGAATAAACAGGTGCAGCACTGGTATCGTCTTTCGCCAGTAAAGGATCAAGTGATAACAAATCATCGATTGCTGCAACAAAGTAAAACAAAAGTGAGGAATACTATGTGAGAATTGGATTTGAGACTATTATTTTCCACTTCTTAAACGATAACAATTTCAGATTTACACCGAAAACTGGTTAAGGTTACCAAATGTGAAGACAAACGAGTTGCGGTCGAAATTCAAGTGAGTACGTAGAATGTAGCGGATGAAAATAGAATCGACTGATTAAAAGAATCTATTTTTACCAGCATCGAAATAGCTATATAACAATATCAGGTCCCACACATTAAACGCAGCTAATAGCTCGAAGCATAAACTTACACATAGTGATGTAATACAGCACAAATAAAAAATTCTATTAAATCCGTCAACACTCACAGCGACATTATTTGGGAAAAGAAATAGTATTGCAGAAAATGTAAATACAACCTAAATTTTGATTCTAGTTAAAATATATACAACTATATGAGACTTTTTGGTAATGTGAAATTCGGGCAAAAAGGTAAGTTGGGTAAAGTAATTTTGGCTAGTTATTTGATAGTTGTCAAACGACCAAACCAACAACAACAGTGTATACCAAAAATTCATGAATAATTCTCATTCAGGTGCTAATGACAAAAACATGTAGTTCAACAAAGACTTTTTCCAGAGAATTCATTTCCTTTAGCTGTGGAATCGCATTTATATACACTCTTGTTCACAGGAGACTCAACTTGCAATATCCTTAGGAGAAAATTTCTAACATCTTTGAAAAAAACATTCGTCGGAGTAACGCTAGGTATAGTGTTCTCTAGTCGTCCATTGCTTCACTTTTACGTGCATATATCAGTTCACCTGTTCCTGTGGAGTCGGGTATATTGTTCCTTTGACACGTCTTAAACTGTTCAAGAACACTATCCGGTATGTTTGAAGACAGACAGCAGTCGTCCCATAAGGACTGGGATGATTGAATGTCTCGTCAACACGGATGGTATTATCGCAACAAACCTCCCCTTTAAAGTAACTTAAAAAGTGAAGAACAACCTGTCAAAGACAATACGCCTTCATCTCCTCCGCATCACAGCATCTCCCTTCATTCAAATAGAGAAGTCGGAGCTTTGCATACAAAAGAGAAGTACACCACCACTTCTACTATCTATCATGAAGACACTGTTTTCCACCAACTTGATTTTTGTTAGTAACTCTTGTATTTCTTTCGAACTCCTGCGTAATACCATACTTCGTTTCTACATGTATTCTGATTGCATCTCATTCATTAAATTATTTACCTTATTACATAACTCCAACACCTTTATTCAACTCCTCCTATGTATTGATTGATATTAACAACTGCGATTATGACAACCCACCACATTTGTTACTATTCTCCTCTAGGAAAAAACCATACATGAATGCCATCATGCAGCTAGAGAAAATGAATTTCCCGAAAACACGCTCTTCGTTGAAATATTTGTTTTGTTCTTTTCATTGGTACCTGGATGGGGATTATTCATGAGTCTTTCATTATCATCAAATTGTTTTATTAATTAGTGTATTGACTTCACAGTCCAGGTTATACAGAAAAGTTGATAATTCCTCTCTTTACTTCCCTTGTAAGCACAAATCTTCACTGAACAAGTAGTCGTTAATAATACCACAGGGAAATGTAATACGCTGGTCAATGGGGAACGCAAACAGGTCTAACTCCACACCTATTCATTCTCTTAACTATCTCCGTTTTATTTTTTAACTGTCATGAAACTATTTTATTTTTATCATGAGGAACAGTACGTCTTTTTCTATGGAGACACAGATCGATCGACAGGACCTTATATATATATATATATATATATATATATATATATATATATATATATATATATATATCATATCCGCCTGAGTAAACTATTTTACAGGTGACCGATTACATAAGGTAAAATTATTCATTATCAATGTGCTTGAAGGATATTGTCAGAATTTTCGGTAAATAAATAAGGCTATCATGTATCTCCGATTGAACTGTGAATGGTTATAAAACACTTTTGTTTAACCACGCTGGTTAGTGTTCCGAGCACGAAAAATTAGGTTCCTAGAGCAACTAACGACCATTATAACTGGTTTCACAGGAGCAGTCGAATGGATAGATACAATAACAGGTGGCTAACCAGGGTACTTCGTCTTTCAGTTTCAGAATCACAACCAGTTGTGTGGAAAGTACAAGCTGCAGCTTACCGCCGTTAATCATTCTTCGAATCGATTTTCTCGACTTGTTGGCTATTATCTCGCTTGGTACATCACCTCTGAACTGCATTCGTATATATATATATATATATATATATATATATATATATATATATATATAAACAAAGGGAAGTGCAATTAGGTGTGCTGTCAGTTAAGAGGAAGTTGTGTAATAATTTTATTCTTTGGTCAGACTTCAGACTCCATAGCCTTGGGATGACAACTCCTCAAATTCAAGTTTACGTGGGGAAACTATTAAATCAATTTTCTAATGAGAATATTTAATAATCTAAAAGCCAAAATTCGATAAACGAAAATGTTTCTATCCAAAATTATGCTTACTTGAAGTAGTATTAGTATTTGCTGTAGACTTTGCATCATTCGTATCTGCTGGTTTAACTCCTTGAGCTGAATATGGAATAGGCTCAATATTAGACTGTGGTAAGGGATCAGATGACAACAGATCAAGACCAAGTAAATCATCCAGCGCTGAAGGATGGCTAGTTTGAGATTGTCCCGCATTAGCTAGAAAATGTATTCAAAATAGATAGAAATAATTAAAACTTAGGGTAAAAGCTGATACTCTTAAATTAAGGTTTGATTTGAAGCTTTGGTGTAGTTTCTTTAGTTAATCAAAATTACTCTGAGCACAATATATGCGACGCAACTGATGTGGCTAGTGGTCAAGCTATATCTCGAATTGGCAGAAGTTGGAATCCATGGACAGACCGTTGAAACGGGTCCCAGGGGCTTAATGGTCTACGAGCTGGCCTTGTAAGTGGAATATTCTCAGTACGAAACCCAGTGGGTACATGCTGCTGAAGAGTCCCAAACTAGATTGACGAAGGAGCTGTCCAGTACTACTAGGTTTCCAATGATTCCGTAACCGATGATGAAACCTTGTAAATGACTACTTATGTGTATCATACTGCAATATTTAGCTTGAGTAGCAGGGACCGAAGGAATTTTAAGGTCAATAGGTTGAAAGCTGCTGTTAGCATAGTTTGAAATAGATAACATTTCTAGCAGTTTTTAAACCTAAAAGTTTCCCATATGTATTTCATCATTATTTGCTTTTGCCGTGCAACGCTTTTCCATTCATCTTCAAGCGAGACGAAGTGTACTAAATAAGATTGATACATTCCCGTTCCAAGCTATACGCTTATTAACCCTCTACTAGCTAACTTATTTGATGCATCTGCAAAGCAAGGCAAAGCATATTGGCATAACATACTGTATCCACGCTATCTCCTACCACATACGACATACTAATCAAACGGACTGTACAGATTTACAAATGAAAAATGAGCCCACCTGATTTATCCGACCAGCCAGTAGTATCTGCAGCTGGTGCAACAGGCTCTTCATCCCCAGCAAATGGGCTACCACATATAGGAGACGCATCAGTTTGCTCGGCTGCTTTTTGATCAAGGCCTGAAGTAGAAAAAATTAAGCAAACAGAAGTCGATATTACCACGAATAATAAGCCGTGAAAACGGACATCAGTATGCATGTTGAGATACAAATTTATAAAACGCTTAATTTACAACTGTGATACAGTTGTAGTACAATAATAAAAGTCTCTTTTACAGAAAACAAATAGACTTAAGAAGGATACTACGAAGTAAGAAATACTTCATATCTCACGTATTCACTGGAATCATCATCTGTGCATCTTAAATCAAGAAAACAGCTGTGCGTATGCTATAACTGGAAGCTAACAGTCTCTTAAACAAAACTGTGTAGAATCAAGATTAAAAAACGAGATGCTGTTGGAAAAATTTATTAGACTGCTGTAACACAACTGACCAACTGAATGTACTTTGACACGATAGTTGATTTTAAGGTCAGTGTCATCATAAAAAGATAGTATTACCTATCCGTATTAAGGGTTTCATAAATGGTTCAGTTCATGACAGTCATTTTTATACCTGAACACGTTATTGTTAAGTCACCGGATCAGAGAAAGTCAGTTGACAGTTTCAGTATGTGTAGATATGACAAGAATTTGTAACTAGAAATTCCTGCATTTAAATCTTTCAGAGGTATAGTGAAATAAAATCCTCGATATCTGACAACATTGGGCCTAATATTTCGAAGTTATGAACATGCGTGACTGAAGAGTCCCACACTACGACAAAACAGCTGGCAAATACCATACAGTTTCAAGAGTCTTCATCAAGCTTATTTTGAATTATAAGTTCACTTTGACGCACATATGTTCATTTGACAAATCGATCAAATTGAACATCAAGCATATTGACGGTGATAACTTAGCAAAGTACGATGGGAACATGCAGAGTCTCCGAATTTCACTGAGCCAAACTGTGTAACACTTAAAACTTTCTATACACTACCCCTTTATAATCATTTCATATGACCTTTCAGACATTACGTGTTATATCACTCTAGTATCCTGACCTATATTACATAGAAATTAACTATAATTTTTGTCTCATAAAACTATTTATTTTAGAACAAAGCCCCCTAAGTGTAACATTAGATTAACTACGCAAAAATTAGACGGTAAGTTTCCGGGATGCCAGACAGATCAGTTCACTAAGTTCTATATTTCCGTCTTGAGACATTAATAAACGAATTACGACTAGGCTGACAGAAAGCCAAAGGTAGTCAGACTAAGACATGATATTAATCCGTGGTCAAACTCGTACAAACAAATCTAATCCTTACAAACCAAACTCTTGAAAATGATACAAATTCATGAAATTATTTGTCATAGTCGGTGTAATGTATCTTTCTTCATGTTACCACCTACTGAATGTGCAGACAAAAATTTCTCCAACCGGAACCACTATCAAGAAATGTCAGGTTTATACTTCTGACCAAATGACCACCTGTTACTTGTTGCAGATGCATAACTAATTACTACGTGCAGACAAACCAAATAATTATCAACATGCATGTATATATATATACGGAAAACAAAAAGACGTATCATACCTGGCAAAGATAAATTATGTTTCGTTTTATCGATGTCTGCATTCAAATGAGATTTCTCCTCTTCCATTTCACTATCGCTTACACTGACAGATGGTCGTTTGGGGACAGCAGCAGTATGACTAGGTGAAGGCAGTGGACGAGCTGGTGAAGGTGACCTAGAACGAGTTGGTGGGACCGAAACAGTACGGTGTTCGGATCTATGTGTGAAAAAGAATATTAATAGAAAATCATGCGTATGCATATTTGTATATATATATATATATATGTGCTATAAATTATAGTCCAGCCAGACAAACCGCAATAAACACTTCATAAATAGCTGTTTGTAAGAGGCTTCCTTCTAATCAAGAGAAACTTTTTGTGTGAAAGACACCACGCCATTCACAACGCACGCGCTAAGAAGCGGAAATGGAGTTCAGGGAGACGGAAGCTGAGTAAAGCGAGCAGATTACAAGCCTCGTTGGGATTGTGTTGATAAGATTTTCATTATTCGTCAACAAAATGCCTAATTGTACACTACCTATATTTCTTGAACTGGGGGAACATTAAACACTGTCACTAGGGTGAGGGTTGTGATGCTGTCCGGTTGTAAAGAAAGTGCCTATAAAGTCTTATGCATTTTGGAGCAATTCTATGGAATCTGTCTAGTGTCAAGAGCTTATGAACAATTGTCGTCTGATGTAATGACAATCAGACGTCCTCTAGGAATGGTGAATTATCTTCATTATTACAAATGCATTGGTATTTGCGATCATGGTGACTTCAACATCACACGAATTCACTTTCTGAAAGAGAACATTGAACATAAAGCATATTGATGACGATAACTTAGTAAAAGTACGATAGGGACATGCAGGGTCTCCGAATTTCACTAACCCAAACTGTGAATACATTTGGCATTTCTGTTAAATATTAAGTGACATTACGAAACTTAACTCAATTGAACCCTAATTAAAGAGAGCAAGTACTGACACAAGTGATAGTACTGACCAATTCACTTATTTGAAAGTCGGTTGAACTTTAATGGACTGATCAGTTAAGAAAATCTCAGTACAGATACAAAATGTTTAGTTGGATTTCATCAGTTTCTAACATTTTTGATGCCCATGTAATAAAAAACTATTCATCTAAGGTTGTTTGTACTGTATAGCATTTATTTTCGCCTCAACTTAAAGAAATATAACATGATTGGAGGAGGCAGATAGCATGAAGACTACAGGTTTTTGACTGTAAATGTCTTAGTTACTCGGGATGTGAGTCATCATCCATATACTACAAGAAAAAGACTTTTCATGTACAGTCAATCTTATAATAAAACAAATATACAGAAATAACACTAACCTTCCTAATTGTGTATGAACTGGAACATTAACGGCAGATGAGCGTTTAACAGCCTCATTACTCTTTACAACAGTTTCCGACAAATGTCCTCTAGCAGCTTCAATTATCTCCTCTTGTAAAGCAGAAGGTAATCCATCTAAAATGACAAAATAGAATGAACAAAGAGGGGTTGGCAATAATCAGCTTAGACAGTAAACAGTTGAAGTAGAAGTAAGTACACAGAGTAATGTATAGTCCAGGTGAATGGCCCATTAGAATAGTGCTGACTTCATTCACTATCTTGCAGACCAATATGATCTCAGGTAGTATAATCGATTATTCCGACAGTTATTGAAAAACGGACTTCATCTGAAAAATGGAATGTACATGAGAAATACACACACATACACACTTATTTGTCTATAATAATTCATGGTGAGACTAACTGGGTTGAGAGACAGTCACAGGTGCCAAAGGTAATGATTCAAGGTGAAATGGAAATTTGGCAAGTAGCAGAATTCGAGCCAACTAAGTAACGATACCTAACTGCTAACCGGGTCATCATTCCACTGCAGACGTGACAAGGACTAAATTTTGTCCTCTGTAAGACTACGTAATTCAACTGATAACTGCGGGAAAAGCCGAAAACGGGCTCTATTACAAACCTCAATATTTCCCAGGTGATTACGTCAAATCGCATACTGCATACCAATTCACGTGTTCGGACGCGCACATGCAGGAAGGAAAACCGCCTTTTGCGCGTTTCAAGGAAGGCAACTGTGCACACGAAAAGAAAACAGTTCAACACCAAAATCTTGAAAAAGCATGTCGTAGACTACCAAATTTCGCCTGTGACAAAACAGGTTACAAGACGATAGCCCAAAACATACAGGGGTGTATGTTGAAATATTCTGGGGTAATAGCCTGATGTGAGCAAGATCGATTTATTGTTACACTTAGCTTATCTGGGTAATCACCTTCTGATTATATCACCAGTAGTGTCAGTCGTACTCCTTCTTTCTCTTTACCAAATTATTATTTTGTTCATTTATACTTTCACTATTCCCATTCATACAAAGCGAATTGACAAGTAGAGATGTGCTATTAGAAATGTATTGTATAAATACATCTTTCAACAACGTTATACAAATTTATTAAGGGAAATAATCGTATTAACTTAATTATTATCAATAAGTTATTCTATTCCTCCCTAATTTAAATCGGTTGAGAATGGAATGAGAAGATAAATTAAGGAAGCTTATATGATTATGGATGAACTGCCAAACATTACTGATTAATACCCAACGACGAGGTTGATGACTGAAGAGAAACACAAATCTGCTCGGCAGGAAGGTTAGTTGAGAAACTGAAAAATGTTATTTTGGAACAGAATAAATCAATATAAGTAATTAACCAAAACTAACCTTCATCATTCACTATAACAGATGGATGTGGAACAGTTGGCTCTTCGATATCACTCGACTGTTGTGCTTCCTCAGTAAGATTCACTTCTTCAGTTTTATGCGTCGTTGAAGAGTTATCAGTTTTATTTGGTTGTGGTTGTTGAACACTACTTGTAACTGACTTGCTACTATCATTGGAGGTCACCTTTTGATTTGGTATAGGGACAGGTACAGTCGGTTTCTTTGGTGCATTTGCTTTAGAGCGAGTTGTTTCACTTGTCCCTTCATCTTCGTCATCTGATCTGGAAGAAAAGAAAGAAAAGAGACTGTCACGGCTATTTAGAAACGTTCAGATAACATAATAAATAGAATTAATACTATGTAAGCACGCTACCCTTATACACTGAAGAGAGAATGGGCGGCTTACTCAGCCCTAATGAATAAAACCTAACATTTGCATGTATGTTATGATAGTTTGTACGATATAGCGAATAACAATGCGACTACAATTGAAGATTACGATCACATACCCTTTTTTACTCTCCAAGATTTGTAAGTGCTGTTCCATTGCGTGAATAACTTTTTCTGGGACCTAACAGTAAAGAAGAAAGGAATAATGACTAAGTGATGACCACCAAACGTACCCTAGTGAATTCAAGTCAGATTCTTTCACCCAAATTAATCCAACACAAAATAGAAGTTGTGAAAAAATATACGAACTTTTGAAAATTAGCAATATGCATGAGATAGACAAACAGATACATGTAATCATCATGGCAATCGGCAGTGTTGCTTAGTGGTTATCACTTTCTCAACTCACATCACCATTAGAGTCTGGAACTGTGCTGCAATGGTTACAGCACATGACTTTAAATAATTAGGTGCGGGATGTCAATTACATTTCATCTAAGTCGTTCAGAGTGACCCAAACATACAATGTAGCTGATACTCCAGAGGGTAATTTTACTGCATGATTAAAATAAAAAGCAATGTGACAGGAAGGAAAGTAGTGAAAATGACAGAATCAAAAGAAGTAAACCACAGTAGGACAAAAGCTGAAAAGGGTGATGAAGAATTTGAAGTAAACACATCTGATTTAAAAGACAACTCAAAAACAAGCGCTTCAACTGTCAAAATTGGTACCTAGTCTAGAAACTCAGTAATAACTTACCGGTTGTAATCCGAGACTGTCCTTGTCACCGATTCCCATACTCTATGTGAAGGAACAAAAACATGTATAATTAGTACCAATCGGGTAAAAGTTCAAATATACAAAACACCAAGGAAAACCTTAAAATGAGCAAATATCTCTAAAACTGAAAACTAAGGCCAATCCATTCTATAACACAAAACGTGCGATTGGTTTGCCTTGTCTGTACAACTGACATCCCAATTACCAAGATATCCATAGAAAATTATGAGAATAATCGTAATTCCTGCAGGGTATTATCCTGGTGACCAGGTTGATTTCGTCAGAAATAAACATTGACCACAGATACAAGTAATAAAGGTTATTAAATCAGGATTTAATGAATTCATCAAATTTCGGTAGAACTCGTCAGCTGAATACTCTACATACACGGACATATATACTTTTGAAATTACATTGGGAGATATAAGATTGATTAGTAAACAAACTACATTGAATTACTCATGCAGAAAGACAGGTGCGAATGTTTTACAGGTCATGTTCAAATAGTTAAGGGAAAGACATTATAAGAGATCGAAATTAAGATAAATTGCATTACGCTTCAATTACATCACTTAGATAAACAATTAATCATTAGAAAATATAACAAGAATTGCAAACAGAGTAATAGCAATAGTAATAGTTAAAATAATAATAATAGTGTTAAAGTGAGTTAAGATAATGCTATTGATAAAGGATAGTCTTAAATGGATCAAGAATAATACTAATAAGAGGTAGAATAATAAGTAAAACGTATTACCATGGTAGATTCAGAGTCACGACCATCTCCTTTTGTACACAGGGACCTGGTTCGTAAACTCGAATTGCAAAAGCCTCTGCAATTGCAAGCATCTTCTTGTTTCTTTGTCTGCTGACAATAAGGAATGACTTGACAGAGCCGATATCATGTCCGTGGTCCACAAGATGCTTCGTTATTGAGGATTTTGGCACTTTGCACTCAGCTATTTTCAACCATTTTGGCAAATGCTCCATCATGCGAGTAGACAATCGCCTTTCTGTACGACCTATGTATTTGCTTCCACAAACACACTCAAATTGATATACACAGTTTGAAGTGTCCACGATTGGCGACTGGTCCCTCCCAGATTGTTGAAGCACTCGCTTAGTGATGTTAAGGATAACAAGTTTTGCAGCACAATAAGTTCTCTTGATGGCTTTATCGAGTCTTCGTTTGACTACTTCCTGTACATCATCTCCTTTGAATGGCAAACTGATATAGGCAGATTTCTTCGGAAGTGTTTGGATTGTTTTGCAGGGGCTAATTTCTTTAGAGTATTTATTAATGAACTTCTCTGGATATTCATTCTTAGATAAAATATCCTTCAGAAATTTTATTTCATGCTCAATAGTATTGTCAGAACAAATTTTTCGTGCTCTATTGAACAGTGTTCTGACAAAGTCCTTTTTATACTGGAGTGAAACAAAACTCTTGAAACGCATGTACTGTCTTGTCCATGAGGACTTTCTAAATATAGATCTTTCGATTGTGCCATCATTCATTTTCGCTGGAAAAACGTCTAGGAATTTAATAGTATCGTTTTCTTCGTGTTCTATTGTGAAATTGAGATTTGTATGGCATGAGTTGAATTTTATCAACATGTCTTCAGCTTGTGATGTGCTTCCACAGACAATAAAAATGTCATTAACATATCTTAGGTATACATTTGTTTCTTGTATATGTTGCTGCAAAGTACCGGTTTCTAGGCTTGACAAGAACAAGTCTGCGAAAAGTGGTCCCAAAGGGATTCCCATTGCGACACTATCAACTTGACGGAATAGACGTCCGTCGAATTGGAATTGGACATTTTTAGTACATCAAAGTAACAATTTCCCCAATTACGATGTTGGAATGGGTATGTCTTCAGCTTCTTTACATATGAAGTCAATAGTCTCAACAAATGGCACATTTGTGAAGAGGAAGGTAACATCGAAAGAGACCAGATCCTTATCAGATACATTGGAATCTTTAATTTGCTTGAGAAACTGAAATGAATCAGAAACTATATACGTTCCAAAACGTTTTCGCAAGGGCTGCAACAATTCACAATTTTGAAGGAATGTATGCAGACTAATGTATATCCTTGGACATTTTACAAATCCCTGCGTAAAGATTCTACCTCTTCCCCAAAGTATTACAAACATTTCAGTAAACCTGAAGTAAATATTTGTTATATATATATGAACAGGAAATTTAAAATAGACGAAACATACCTCAGCAAGGGTAAGGAATTCTGTTAGTTTAGACAACAAACCAGGAAATGCATGGTACAAATCCAATCCAAGTCGACACTGTCTTCGTTTTAGAGTGAAATACTTTTCTGTACAGAAGGTATACACATACAAAGGATAAACACTAAATGTTATCTTCATAAAATACATCTGATTATAGAAACTATAAAGTTGAACGTGTAACTATTCAGTAAAATCAGATCGGTTGCTAGCTGATAATACGCAACGACTGAGATGGCTCCATTTTGACCCGATAACAATAGTAAAGATGCAAACTGCTACTTTTGTTTTTCTTCTCATAGATGCAAAACAGTTGGGGTTAACTGAACTGCATTTAGTGCAGAGTACTGTTGTTTTTCCATAGGGTTACTTCCTTAATTTGCTAATTTTGTATGTGAGCAATTTAACTCTGGCAGAAAACCAGAAAGCTATTCATACGACCTATTCTTTACTTCATCCAGATTGGAACCAATTACTGCATAAGCGGATACTAATGATAGTATTACAAAATGACATCCACGATTGTCACAATCTTTTTTTAGTTTCTTTTCAGACATACTCAGGTCAGCCAAATACATACGCCTATTCAAGAAAGTCCACCTACGTAGTGAAGTTCCTCCTACTGAGCTTAGTGCTTTTGACAGTAAAACCAGGCAAAGATTCTCACTCACACTAAGAATTCTGCAAATTCACAAGGTTGGTTAGTTTAGGGGTCAATCAAATATATCCACTTAGGTCTTATGTGTACATATCAGATATACAAAATGCATTCAGAGCCCGAGAAATCACACGTTTGCCCTGTATGGCATGTTGTGAAATTTCGCGTGGAATTCATTAGTTGAAGACACCAAACATTAAGTTGGTATAACCTTTCTGAAAGGCGAGAAACGATGTTTGTCTGACTCCACCAGCACGGGAGTTATATTTTTTATAAGACCCAGACTAACAGACGGCTGCTTCAAAGGCTGTTATTACCTGGTAGTTTGGGACTAACTAGAAGTTCCAGATCACTTTATGATATTCTCTGCCTTTTAAAAGTGCAGGATTCCTATTCAGTAGGTAAACAGTATTGTTTTAAAAGAGATTCTCTATAAAACCATGAGATGTTATCAGATACGACACAACAAAATGACTTTGTTTGTCAATAAGATTCCTTTTCATAATTTCCAAACTCGAGAACTCACACTTAAATTGGAAGAAATACATAAGCATATCAAACAAGAAGTACACCAACCACTTACCAATCAAATTAATCATACCCTCGTTGTATGAGGCAAACAGACGAATTAGATCTTTATATAACAGTAGGAAGGCAGCATTGATGATCGCGTTATTTAGATCCTTTTCAAGAGCCTGTGAAGATAGGAACAAAAAATACTAGCTTATATGGACAAAACTAAACAGCACTGTCTACTTCTGGTAGCTTCTAATCTTCAAAATTGTACTTCTTTATTACAATAACCAATTGTAAAATGCTGACTCGGACATTTGTTTTTTAATAATCTGTAATGCCTTTAAGTGTATAGTAATAAGTCTACCATAATAATGCAAACATCTTACACTATAGTGGGGCTTTGGAGGTGGTTCACAATACTGTATAAACAAAATTATGACAACAGTATGTTTACCTCGTGCAACCATCATTTCGCCTACATGACCTTTCCAGTCTAATGAAAGAGATTAGCTCCATAAGTGCGCACTTTTGTATACTTTATGGCAATGTCAGCATTAAGCATATCCTATGAGGAATTAACTCCACAAAATATAACAACTTTAAACACGCCATATAAGTTGTCTCTGTTGGGCTTTAGTCACCCAAGACTTATCATATTTTTGTTTCAGCTAAATCAAAGAGCCTTCATCTCTAAATGTTGGAAGTAGACTTCTATTAATGCTTAAGTCCTAATAAGTGACCAAAAACTGACTCATTACATATAATCATCAATTAAATCAGACTAGTGACAATAATAATTATAATTATAGCAGTGAATAATGCAGCTTAGTAACCATAAACAGCTTCCTCTACATGGCTATAGTAGCCACTCATCCTTATTGATATTATCTAGTACGCAGAGGGAGGATCACACCATTGGCCATCATGTTAAATAACCAAATTAACCTTTATATAACATGTAAAAATCTGACGAATACTACAACATTATAATCACTAACTCACATCGAACTCAAGAAGAGTTAATATTTGTGACTGCATTACTGGAAGAGCCTTCAAAAGCTGAAAAATGTTATAAAATGACAGTTACTAAGTGAATTAGTGGTACAATACACCTATGCTCTGTCTAACCAGTATCATCATGCAATTGACAATAACAAATGTAGTGAAGAGGAACAGAATGACGCTACAACACAAAATAATAGTGGTAGATTACTGTTCAAGAAGCATTGGGAAACAATGTGTTTAGAAAAGTAATCCCGCCAAATAGACTCGAAAAATCTTAATTACTAGTTTTAGACGCTGTTCTATAGCAATGCTCTGCAGGAACTGGCACAAATAACAGGTCTCAAAGTGATTGAAAACCACAGCAAAGACATTCATAGAGTTCCAGCTTTTCGCATATCTTTGATTCTTCACATAACAGAGAAGCGAAGCAAAAAGGTGAATTGACTGCCAAAAAGTACATTCACAGATGAAGCTTACTTGCTACCTAGGTTACCAATAATTTAATTTTAAGAAAGACAGTTCAGTTAATTGATCGGTCTAAGGTTTAGTACGAAGGTGACACCAGTAAATATATCTTTGTGCAATAAATAAGAAATAAATATACTTGAGCTCTCAAATTAATAACCTGTCTACAGCTTAAGTGGTCCTAGTATAATTGTCCTACTCAATCGACAATCAGTTGGTAGTTAAATGCTTTCCTAATAAACATATCAATGATAATAAATGGTATGAAGTAGCTGTCTTTTTTTTACAAATACTGACCTCGATTGTGTCTGTGATAAGCACACATATAGCGAACTATTTCGTAAAGGACAACAGTAGTCAACCAAGACAGACACTTTTTATATTCGTCTAAATCTATTTTGAGCCTCATTTATATTCCCAAGTGCTGTTTAATGCACTATCGATCAGCGGTTATGATACCTTTTCCGTACTGCCAAAATTAATGAGTTATTCGCACACTTACGGGAAGGCAATGTAGGGTTAGGATAGTCTAGAATGCATCAAAAGGCACTGAGTTCTTGTGTTTTGTTCATTCAGACTAGGTGTAACATTCAATAGTGATGTGTATGATTATTAGATACGTCTAAATGAAGACAATGTAGTGAGTGAGCCAAATATGATTCAACAGGAAACATTAAGTGGACTGCATAATTAAGCCGACTGTCTTACAGCACGTTATACTATTAGTGGTGCTTGTTCTCACAACCTACACCAACTTTCTTACCATAATAATAACTAGCCCATCTAAAGTTCACCTTTTATCATTTTTAGCACGATTTGCGAATAAATCCGAGGAAAAGTAATTTGGAGTATTTCATTTACAAGCCAAAACACCTCACATCAATCCTGACAGTGGGTTTGCTCTTACTAACCAATCACATTAAATGCAAGGAGCGAAGCAACGAATATTATATGAGTAAATGACTACATGTACTGACTACATACATGATTCACAACATATACAACCCACAACACCGATTACCTTATCAACTGGCATCGTTCGCAATACTCCATCGTCACGTCTGAGAGAAACAAAACTAGTTAACTACAATTTCATGACAAAATGACACGCTACAAAAGCGGTTAGAATTATATACTTTGATGAAACTCAGCTCCCAGCATATTTAGGTGCGCAAGTGCAACTAAAGGATGACTTAATTGTTGCGAAAATTGAATACAATGCACGCTAATTTTCCAGGGGAGTGATAAAGTCAATAAATATATATTATCATATTTATGGCAAAATTAGACTGTAGCAGCCATCCCAATCAACCCAACCAATTACCTTGAGTGACTAATCAGATATAATGAGGTATAGTTCCGCGAATTGTCGAAAAAAAATAACTGCATATAGTGTTTATGAGATGCATTTATACCTCGTTTAATTAACTAAGAAATATCAACAGACCAGTTATCCAGGCAAGCTCACTATTAAAACAGCAATGAAACACAAGACCTTCCGTGAACCTGTCAAGTAAATCCAGAATATGAAGCACTTGATTTGGTTATACCACCGGTCATGTACCAAGGTGGCTAATTCAGTTTAACTTGGCCTTTGTGGCTTTAATATCACTCGACGGTAGACGCAGATGACCTCAGAACTGTAATGCAATACGATGGGATATCGAATCAGTCAATAATCTCATTATGTAGTGAACGACAGGATGATTAATAGTCCCAAAAGTCGGGTTGCGTTTAAAGGACTCAAACAGTATGGGTCGACGAAAAAACAAATAAGGACTACTAATTACATGCCTTTCTTTAAAGTTTCAATAGAATTTGGGTACAGCCTCACTGAAACAAGCACTTTCTGTGAAAAACATATTAATATTGTGACATAAAACCCATGCCCCAGGTAACTCAGAACTTGCATTTACATCCTATGGAACAAAGTGTAGACTCTGAAATCCGTTATGTTGAAATTCTGGTGCCGGAGGAAACAAAATTGGCCACGGAGAAGGTTAGAAAAATTAAGGTGGATCCACAACGTACATACAATGTATGATAATGATTGAGACCATAGCAGACCAATGAGTCAATACGATGTGTCACTCTTTGGAATAACGCGACGCAGAACCAATTGCAGGGACACAAAGTAAGCAGACGCAAACAAAAGCTGGACTCCAGGAATGAAAAAATAAAGGCATCAAATAATTTGTCTGTGAATTGAAACTTTCGTAGGTGACTATCAGACATACCGAACTTCCATTTACATGAAGCAGGCTACTGATCTTTTATAGGGAGACACTATGAATCATATTCACACGTGTTATGTTGCTCAAAAGGAAATAAAATATCCATGTAAGAGAACCAAAGTACCACCTTTAAGGACTGATACAGACTGTACATGATAAACAAACTAAACTGTCCCAGTTCTTGTATTATGTTCTTACCCACTTCCACTTAAAAGCATAACAAGAACTACAACTTAATGTGTGTAATGCCACCGCTTACTATTCGGTATCAAAGCCAAACAGATACTGATTTCTCACACAAAAAACTAGTGAAGCCGTAATACAGACAGGCGCAACCCGGAGATGATGACCACAAAAATCTGTACAGTGTTGCTCATATGCACAACAAGCATCAAATAAACATTCGCATTGGAAAGAATAACACTATAACTCACCCTCGCTTTACTTTGCAGAAATCAAAAGCCATAGCTCTGTATGAAGCAATCTTTTCGCTTAAATACTTCGAATACTTGCGAATGAACATCGACATCTCATAAGCTACAAATATATCATGAAACCAATGGACATACATTGAGAGCTCGTCTTGTCATTGAAACTAGGTAGATTAACTGGGCAGTTGTTTGAGGCAAGATAGTGAGAGAATTTCTGAAGTAGTGAAACATTATATCATTTCGGTCTTACCTCATTTCCGAAGTTCATAAGGTTATGAGTCGTTATAAGTGCCTTAAAAACAATCACCCATGACTTTTCTTGCGTGCGCTCTACCAGAAGTCCAGCAAGTAAAGGGATGGAAACATTCGGCTCATTGCTACAGTTTACAAGATCTAAGAAAATAACTTTCAACAGAATAGAACACACAATCAATATGCTTCTTCTTGGGGGCTCCAATTTCTTCTGTTGTTGCTTTTGCAACAACTTTACCCAAACCGGAGCCCGCTAGGCTATATTTTGCCTGAGTCACTCGGTCCATCAAACTCTGACCTGTACCACTCCCAGCTAGCTGTTTAACAACTTTGCTAGCTGCTTTAGCTGTCATTTCCGACGGCTGACGCAACACTTGAATCGCCCTCTTCGGTACGATACTGATATGGAGGTCAGAACTAAATGTTCAATATCCAATATCCAATATCGTTTTTACGAGCTAGTATAAACCAATTTGATTTCTTTGTGCTCGCTTCTTGATTGTGAGGTATAGGTTCTTGATCTTCGGTAAACTTCTGCGTAGCTTGTCCCGCCACTCGACTGTCGACTGTTGATGTAGCTCTCTTTCTCATAGTGCTGAAAATAATGTGGGATTCTCAATGATTCTCCTTAATCTGAGCAATCTACTATGAGTTTATTTTCAACATACTGTGAGAGTGCTCTGTGCATAAAAATTTCCCTCTCTAGAATCACGTAAGTAGCATAAACGATTTTCATATGCTGGTGATTGCAATCAGTTAATATGGTTAACTAGCCCTCCCAGATTTTGTTTAAGCTATTTGCCAGGAATATAATTAGATTCTCAACTCATTTCATCCTCTATGTATCAGTGAAATTTTATATCTATATTGGTAGCCGGTGATTTGCATACTCTTCGCTACCCAGCTGTCTTTGATTGGTGTCAACCTATTAGTTGTGGTAATACAGACATACGTATTCATGTAAAACAGTTTATTTACAAGAAATACATGGAACTTTAACAGGTTCGACTGCATATTATACGGATTCATGTAGTATAACGTTGAATTTGTTTGCTGGGATAATTTTATCTAAGTGTTTATTCAACACAAGCTATTGTCTGAACAGATGCATATTCATCCTAAAGGGTATCTTAAATGTAGTGGTGATTTCTGGATATGTCCCTGGACGCTTATTTAGTAACCACTTTCGAAGTAATGTAGTTAAAGCGCGAAGTCAAACACACGGAAGGATAGTCATCACTCATTACCGTTGCTTTGTGAAAAGGAACTTTTCAAATCATGAAGACATAGCTTCTGCCATGGTAACTCATCCCATTCCTCCACATTCACTGGTCACGAACTGCTTACTGAGTAACCCTAAAATATATGATACCTCTTGTGTGTTTTAGAGACTCTTCATTAACATCCTTCTGAAAACGAGTTCCGCCTCGAAAAACCATTACACAAGGCCAACGACATTTCGTGACTCTTTCACGGCTTAACTTTGCAGGTCTATCTAGATTTTTTTGCACCATAATGGAGAAGCATGCCGGGATCGAAGGCGTAAGTGATGAATTCACACATATCTACTTCTAAACATCAGACTTTTACTTTTATGCCATAAATGTCACAATGTTGCGAAACGAATTTTCTGTCAGTCTGTGGTTACTATGGTCGTGCTCTTCACAAGAAGTAGACTTCCCTAGATTTTCGACCTGTATGTCATCATTTTCTGTCCATGGCCTAGCACGGTACAAACGTCTTCTTTTGACAGGAACCCACTCCTAGGCATATGACGCATCCTAGTTTGTCGGCTTTTTGGAATTCCGCGTGTCATTTCTAATATAATGCGGAAGGATAGTGCTCACACTGATGATTCGAAGTTGCCCCTGAAAGCACCCCCTAGATGTGTGTTTGTGTGCGACGCTGGATGACCAAACAACAAAACCACTGATAAAAATGATGTGTTGATTTGTTTATCACTTGGAAACTTCAAGAACTTGTCCTTGTTTCCTAATATCACCGTAAAATTATATGGTAATTGTCATCACGACATAAGCATCGTGACGTTTGAAGGTTTAGTGTTTCCGGTATTATCCTTATCAGTTATGCCTTTATTATTTTTAGCTGGTTCAAAGAACGGTTATCCAGGTAGGCAGGGACACCGGGAACCTCGGAAAGTATTAATCTGAGCGACACAGTGTGACTGGGCGAATTGCAATAAGTTAACAGGAAGAAGTTGGAAATGGCGCAAACATAGGTGGGAATAAATATATATTTATGCCGAACAGAGTCAGCCTAGTTTCAGCCTATAATACTGAAATATAAGACTTAATATCAATGAGGTAAGGACGGCTTCCCAGTCGGTTAATTTTTTGGACCTGGCATATTTGGACGAAAACGTGGGATTTTTCCGCTCAAATTTGGGCAAAGTGGGAATAAGTGGGCTGTCAATGTAGTTGAAGACTGAACGATCAATTCATGGTTGTTTGCTCAAATCCAACTTCCCCAATTTTCGCGGAGGCATCAATACACCAGTCATCGTCTCATCGATCGCTGTTCAGAAATAAGTCAGGCCAAAACTGTCAGAAGTAATATTGTGATTTATTTTTGTAATATTTGTTCATAGACCTTAGTTGTAAAGCTTAGTTATACATTGGATATATGTTGGTGTTAAAATAAAGAATTATCGAGTCGCCAAACTGAGTTTTGGATTTTGCGTCCGTTATTACTAAGCGTTTCTAAAAAACTTCAAGGAACAGCGTGAGTCCCAGCGTAGCAAGAGCTGGGCATTAACGGTTTACGAGACGTGGCTAACAGTTTCTGACGGTACGGCGTCAGTTTTTGACGGTTTTGAACAGTTGGTGACAGTTTGGATAGTCACCGTTCATCTTTCCTGGTGCCGGTCAAGTCCTTTTGAACAAGCAATATCTGGAACGTTTTTGGAATTGGGTCAAGTTCAACAATGCCTGGGTCAAAGAAGGGACAGAGCGTCTTGGATGCAAACAGGAAAGTAAGTCATGGTGACTTGTCTGTTAATTGTAACGATGTGTCTGATGTTAAGCATGACATGGTTGATGTTACTGTTTCGCCGTTCAGGGATAATAGGAACATCAAACTCCCTAAATTTGAACACGGTGTTTCGGTGGAAACCCGGCTGATTATTTACAATTTGTAAAGGAGTTTGAGATCATGCTGAGTAGTATTTTATTAAGTGATGAATTGAAATTGATGTATTTGATGAGGTATTGCACTGGAGATGCTTCAAGAGCTATACAGTGCTGTAAGCTCATGCCCCCTAATGAGGGATACGCTGAGGCTATGAGCATATTACGTCAAAGGTTTGGAAGACCTGCAATGATTGTAAGGAACGTATTCGAAGCTGTCAAAGGTAACGGCACTCAACTACAAGATGATGGTTTTTGTGGTAAGGTGTCAGAATACAGGATGACAGTCCATCCATTTGGTGCCACTTCCTCCCCGTTTCGTGCTAATTTTGCTCTACAAAAAGCAGTGTCCACATTTGGTTCTAATGATCTGCTAGACGTCATCGATTGTTGCTTCTACGTGGATGATTGTTTAGCCTCCTTCGATGATGATAAGTCTGCAGTTAAATTTGCAGCAAGCATTACTGAAGTGTTAGCTAAGGCTGGCTTTCGTCTAATTAAGTGGGTCTCGAACAGCATAGACGTTTTGAAGTATATAGTTCCAGAAGACGGAGCACCTACTGTACGAGATTTGCCTGTTGATACTCTACCAGTTGAACGTACATTAGGTATGCGATGGGATGTGAACTCTGATACCTTTGGATTTAGTGTTGGTGATATTTATAAACCAGTTACCCGGAGAGACGTGCCCTCTGTGTTGTCGTCCGTGTTTGACCCATTTGGATTAGTAGCACCTTATCTACTTCCGGCTAGGAGGTTATTTCAAGAGACATGCAGGAAAGGGTTACAGTGGGATGACCCATTAAGTGAGAGGCAGAGAGAAGAGTGGAAGGGGTGGGTTAACAGTTTAAGAATGCTGAATCTACATTCCGTCTCACGTCCACTTAAGCCATCAAGAAATCATGATATAATTGACTTCCATGTTTTTTCTGATGCCTCTGAGGTTGGATTTGGTGCAGCCGTATACATCAGAACCACCTTAAGGAATGATATAGATGTTAGCCTGGTGATGGGTAAATCTAGAGTTGCACCTCTAAAGACGGTTTCGATTCCGAGATTAGAACTTAATGCCGCCTTACTGGCTGCGCAGTTATTCACAACGGTGTGTAAAGAGTTGGATTACCCCAAGCATCCCGTAACGTTTCGGATTGATTCGATGTCTGTGATATATTATATACGCAACGAGTCAGCAAGATATGCATGTTTTGTAGCTAACAGAGTATCTCAAATTCGTGAACTAACAACCGTTGAGCAGTAGAGGTACGCACCGTCTGGAAAAAATCCAGCTGATCTAGCCTCGCGCGGAGTTATTGTCAGCCACGTCTCCTAAACCGTCAATGCCCAGCTCTTGCTACGCTCGGGCTCACACTGTTCCTTGAAGTTTCTCAGAAACGCTTAGTAATAACGGACGAAAAAACCAAAACACCAATTGTTGACTCGAGGATTCTTTATTGTTACACCAACATATAAATTTTTATGGCTAAGGTTTCTGACGGTTTACTGCTGACTTCTTTCTGAACAGCGACCGATAAGACGATGACTGTCGTATTGATGCCTCCGCGAAAATTGGGGAAGTTGGTTTTGAGCAAACAACCAAGAATTGATCGTTCAATCTTCAACTCCATTGACACTCCTCGGCAAAAAAGGGATCCAACCCTTTTTTCCTTCACGACCAATACACGTTGACTTGGATGCCATTGCGAGAACCTGGGTCACACGGACAGAGCTGAAATGGAAAACAAACAGAAAAGCCAACACACCAAAGACATACCCACAGCACAATATCACACATCGATGACGACCTGCGCCCTCCAGTTAAAGGCATCCTCTTGACATCTTGCAACACAATCGCCACTTGCTAGAATGACTCTTGCAGAATGCAACGTGACCATGGCAGCACCTCACGATACTCTACGCTCATCCTCTTATCTACTCACTACCAATTACCACTGCGATCGCTTGTCACTCATTCTGCCTCAATTCCAGTAACGGTGACGTATGCGGGCCTCAGTCGTTTACACTCTCCCTCCCCGGCGTGTGTGACCACAGCTAACAATTATCTCCGTGTGCATGTCATTCTCACCAATAGCCTACCCGGCGTATACGACCGATCTGCTGTCCTTAGCATCAATCAATTCATTCACGGATGTAGAAGACTCGAAACAACTTCAGAAGTAATCCCGACGAAAATTTTAACAAAATTACGC